CAGCCAGGCACTGTAGTAGCCTCAGCCTCCCAGAAGGGTACCCTCATTCGCCTCTTTGACACGCAATCTAAGGAGAAACTGGTGGAGCTGCGCCGAGGCACTGACCCTGCCACCCTCTACTGGTAAGCACAAGGCATGCATTGTGGGCTGGTGACCCCATGCCATGTGACATGTGAGCATCACTGCTGCTCTGTCTTCCAGCATTAACTTCAGCCATGACTCCTCGTTCCTCTGTGCTTCCAGTGATAAGGGCACTGTCCATATCTTTGCTCTCAAGGATACGCGTCTCAACCGCCGTTCCGCGTGAGTATCCCCTGCCCCTACCCACCACACCCCCTTCCCCCTACCCATATACCAAACCTGGGCTTAGTGAGTGCTGCCTGCAGGCTGGCTCGTGTGGGCAAGGTGGGGCCTATGATTGGGCAGTACGTGGACTCTCAGTGGAGCCTGGCAAGCTTCACTGTGCCTGCTGAGTCAGCCTGCATCTGCGCCTTTGGTCGCAACACTTCCAAGAACGTCAACTCTGTCATTGGTGAGTGGGAATAGCTGCATGGTTGGGGTACTGCATGGGGTACTGCAGGTTGGACCTGAAAGAATTTTAGAACCATGGGAAGCTAGAATGTGTAGCTCAACTTCATCATCAGTAAGGGAGATTGCACTTGAGCAAAGGCGTGGAGGAAAACCCTAGGCCATGGGACACCTGAGAGGGTGGGAGTGTGTGGTTGTGGCAGCCTCTAACCTTTTACCACCCCTCTTTCCTCCCCTAGCCATCTGCGTAGATGGCACCTTCCACAAATATGTCTTCACTCCTGATGGAAACTGCAACAGAGAGGCTTTCGATGTATACCTTGACATCTGTGATGATGATGACTTTTAAGAACCCTGGAAGCTGTGCTAGGGACCTGCAGTGGCAGATTACAGAGCTGAGCCTTAGGGGTAGAGTGCTGTGGAAGCCATCAACCAACAAGCATTAATGGGGCCAGTGCCCACTTTTCACTCAGCAGAGCTAAGTCTAACTAAACAGCTCACTTCCCCCAAGCACTTCTTAATGATTGTGTGCCTGAAGGGCCACGCCAGGAACCCCAAGGGAAAGTCTTAGTCCAACCTGGGGATTTTTAAAAGCTTCCCAGGAAGAGATGATCTCTGATGTGATGAAATGTGAATAAAAGGCCCTGAATGGCATTTATGGCTTTACCTCAGGGGCGGGGCATGGAGCTTCCAGGAGAGGTGTGACCCTCCTGGACCCTGAAGGGAAGGACGTGGAATCCAGCTCGGGTCCTTCAGACAGTGCATCCTCTCTTATCTCTGGCTACTGTGTGCTGGAGCCGCCGACACCGCCCAGAACAGTCCCTGGTGGTGCCCAGCCCAGGGCCGCCAAGCTGTCCAAAGGGTTGGGAGTAACCCGCCCCGTGGTGGAGGTTTGATTTCCCAGCAGCCCTTGCTGCTTTACGACTGTTATATGCTTTTCCGGTCACGTGCACTCCCGTCCCTGCGCAGTTCACCTAGGCGGCTAGGACCGTAGCCGCCGAGTCCAGACTCCATCTCCCGGTGAGCCCCGCGGCGGCGCGGGTCATAACGGGTGTTGCAGTCCAGTCGCTCTTCTGGCTGGTCCAGCAACGTCGACCGGGAGGATGTCGGAGGTTCGGCTGCCACCGCTACGCACCCTGGACGACTTTGTTTTGGGGTCGGCGCGTCTGGCGGCTCCGGATCCATGTGACCCACAGCGATGGTGCCACCGCGTTATCAACAACCTCCTCTACTACCAAACCAACTACCTTCTCTGCTTTGGCTTCAGTCTCGCTCTGGCCGGGTGAGGGAGGGAGGCTCCGGTTGGCTGGGGACATCTGCAGGGCGGACCCGCGGGTCTTTAAGGACCTGGAAGGGGAATGCATGGCCGAGAAGCTAGGCCTGAGGAGCTTTGAAGGGGGCACTTGAAAGAGGGGGAATCTGGTTACAAGGAGGGCCTGCGGGGGGACAGTGGATCTGGAGGGAAGACCTGGGGAAGATGGAGAAAAGTGTGGAACTGAAGGGGAAAGTTGTCTGGGAGGTGGACCTGAAAATAAGGAGGGACTGAAAGAGGGACATGAGAGTACTTAGGGGCTGGGGAGGGTGATGTGATGAGTGATGGGGCCAGATTAAGACGGACCTGGAGGACGTAAGGCAGACAGGGACAGGGATATGGACATGGTAAGGTTGAAGGGTTTGGAAGGTGGACTTGTCGATGATATGGTCTTGAAGGAGAGCCTGGCTGTGACTGGAACACGCCAGGAGCAGGTGCTTGTTGGGAAACTTGGGCCCAGAGGGAGGACCCAGGAATGGGAAGCCTGAAACCAGAAAGGGATGGAGAATCTGGAGTAGGGAGTTGGATGGGGCTGGAAGTTGAAAGTGGGACTGAAGGCCCAGAAGGGATTCTAGCAATTCCTCTAGTAGGAATCTAGAGGGGTCATTTGAAGTGGAGGAAGCCTGGAAGGGGGTCCTGTAAAGACCTTGGACCTGGAGAGAAGGAAATGTGTGGAGACAGCAGGCCTGGAAGGGCGATCATTAGGGGAAATTTGGGAGCGGGGGCGCTGGAGAGGGGCCCTGCGTGGGTAGAAGGAAAGACCAGGGATGGCCTGGGAGCCTCGGGGGTCTAGCGGGATTGGAGGGCCTGTTGCGTGGGGACCTCAGGAAGATGGGACTGTAGAATTGACAGGAAATGAGGGTCCACATGGGTCTTAGGAGTCGGAAGCCCTGCAGGATGGATCTGTTGGAGACAGGGCTGGTGGGAGTATTTGCCAGGCTGGAGTATCTGGCGGCCGGGGACCATGGCCCCTGGGGCCCAGGGTCGGGTAGATGGTGGTCCTGGAAGCTGAGTGGCCCTTCCCCCGCCTGCCCTGCTAGTTTAGCTCCTTTGTCCCCGCAGGTACATGCGCCCGCTGCACACACTCCTAAGCGCACTGACAGTGGTGGTGGCCCTCGGCGTGCTGGTGTGGGCAGCTGAGACTCGCGCAGCTGTGCGCCGCTGCCGCCGCAGCCACCCCGCCGCCTGCCTGGCCGCAGTGCTTGTCGTCAGCCTCCTCATTCTCTGGGCCATGGGCGGCGCTGGCACTTTCCTGCTCAGCATCGCCGGGCCGGTGCTTCGTGAGTCTCCATTACCCCAAGATAGCCGGGAAAATGGCCAGCGCGTTCCTAAGGCGCCGGCCACCCTGCCGGGGTTCCAGGGCTGAGAAGCCCAGGAGACATGGCCACGCCCCCGTTAAAATGCCTGCCCGGGCTTCGCTCCCCCTTTCTGGGAACGCCCCTTACTACTGCCTTTCAAAGTCTCATTCCTGGTGTTAAGCGCCTTCCGCTGGCCACGTCCCCGTTACTGGGCGCCCTCCCTGGCCATGCCCCATTGCAAAACGAATTACTCGGCCACGTTTTCAGGATGAGAGGCGTCTTGGCCCCTCACCACTCCACTGGCTTGCCTGCGCAGTTCCCTTCAGTGGACCACTATTGGCTGCAGGCCAATCTGACCCCTCCTCTCGGTGCCACCCACAGTGATCCTGGTGCACGCCTCACTGCGCCTGCGCAACCTTAAGAACAAGATTGAGAACAAGATCGAGAGCATTGGTCTCAAGCGGACACCAATGGGCCTGCTACTAGAGGCGCTGGGACAAGAGCAGGAGGCTGGATCCTAGGGGCCTGGGAACTGTACCCAGGACCTGGAGAATACCACACCCCTCCCCTCAGCCCATACCCAGAGCCCTTTCCCAGCCCTTATAATAGAAACCTGGAGATGGACCCCTGCCCAGTCAAAAACCAAGGGAATCTGTGGCCACCCCACTCCCATCCTGGTCCCAAACTAGGGTATCCCTCAGACCTAACCCCACTGCCTAAAGACCAGACTTCCCCAGTCCTGCACCTGGGACTCAGAGTCACCTACATCCAGCCCCAAAACTAGGACTTGAGACCAGAGCATCCATGGCCAATCTCAAACTGTGGACCCAAAGACACTCCCTCAACTCAGATCTGGGACCCACTGGTCTATGCACAGCCCCAAAGCCAGAGCCTGGAGCAAGGCATTCTCAAATATTGAACCCTGGACCAAAGCTCTTCCAGACCCCTACCCCAACTTGGAACCCAGGTCAAGGTATTGGCAAATCTTGCACCCCAAACCCAAGTGTTCCCAGCCCCCATCTGGGTGGAGTCGGTTATCCTGACTGTTGAACCCCTTAGTCCCAGGTGACCCCAACCCCCACCAGTCTCACTTACCTCCCTCCAGCTCTACTTGGGATTTTGCCCCTCATCCTGATGTTCCATAGTGTCAAGGACCAAGGGATGGGGTGGGGTGGGGTGGGGTGGGGGTAGGCCCCGACTGGGAATGGGGCATATATATATATCAGTGTTGCCACAACAATAAATGCTGTTGCATCTCAAGCCAACCTGGGTAAAGTTCTTGCACATTTCAGTGGACAGAATGGCCTTCTACTTTTTGCTTCAGTGAGGGACTTAGCCTCTCTGTCAAATATGTGGGCTAAAGGGGTGATCTCTCAGGCCCTTCCTCAAACCTGTTACCTCTGGATTAGCATTAAAGCACAGGGAAGTTAAGGGTATAGAGTGTTTACTATCACCATTTGTATTACTAAGGGTTCTTGTTCGAGGTTAGCTAGGAATCTGAGTGCAAATAGGCAAAGAAGTCCCACATCACAAAGCAAGTAAAGTTGAAACAGATGACACTATAATGGGCTGTTTCCATGGGTGTGTGTGTGTGTGTGTGTATATATATATATATATATATATATATTTTTTTTTTTTTTTTTGTAGAGTCAAGGTCTTATTATATTGTCCAGGCTGGTCTCAAACTCTTGGCCTCAAGTGATCCTCCCACCTTGGCCTCCCAAAGTGCTGGGATTATAGGCATGAGCCACTATGCCCAGCCATGGTGTTGATGGTGTGGTTTTTTTTCCTGTAAAAATATGTTATGTGCACCTAACTAAATGTGTAGACCCTCAAGGCAAGGCCAACAGAGGAGCAATGGATGAGTTCACTTTACATATTTATTATAGAAATCCCCTTCCAGTGTGGGTAGTGTCTTGGGCCCAGATCCACTGGTACAAAAAGAAAAGTTTAACACCAGGTAAGGGGGGCAGGGGAACCCCCAGCTCCAGAAAGTCACAGATAAGTATTATAGAAAACACAGCTTGTGTGGATTGGTTTAAGTGGTAAATGGAAGGAAAGCCAAAGAAGATGTGACGTGGCCTGTGGCCTGTGGCCAGACATCACCTGAGGATTCTATTGGCATCTACCAGATGCCAGGTTCAACCTCTGCAGCATCCCAGGACACAACACACCCAATGGCTCTGCCCTTTGCCCCTACTGTGGGACCTCCTGACTGGGGATGGTCAGGGTAGAGGCCATAAGCACAGATGGGGATGGGCTCCTTCAGGCATCCCACCCAGACTGCAATCCTTCCAAATGTGGGCAGAGAGCCCTCCTTCTCCAGAACTTCCCTGGTAGGGGTGGCAAGGAGTTCTGTTCACACTGGAGTCTCCTGGCTGCCCCAAATAGGGCCCTGAGACCCTACATGGTCCATTTGGCAGGGGGTGGTTCTGAATGGAACAGGCTGGGCATGGGAACAGGAATGAACCCAACCAGGACAAGGTCACAGTTTCCCTTTTATAAAATGCCTAGTGTTGGGGGAAGACAGCAAATACCTAAATCACAACTGTAAACAGAAATGGAGGAAGGGGCTTAGAGTCCCCTTGACATCATCCCCTTCTTTTAAGCTGGCTGAGCCCCCCCCACCCGTCCCCAGCACAGTGTAAGAGGAGAAGCAGGGTGTCAGACACCTTCTTGGGCCCACAGGGAGCCAGGGGCCTTGGAAGATTAGGTTGGTGCCCACCCAGGACTGAGAGCAACCACACCCCAGGGCTCAGCGAGGTCAGCTGTGTGCTCCCCAGACTGGAGTCATGCCCAGGCCAACAAGGGGCACATCAGAGGGGTCAGACCAGTGTCCCCGGGGTCTGGGGGTCAGAACTGGAGGACTGCTCTCCCTCGAGCGTCAGCTCACTTAAAGGAGCGCTCAGCTCTTGGGGGTACAGGAAGTCCGCGTAGTATCTTTAGAAGGGGTAGCAGGAATCCGGAGGACAGAGCAGGGAAGATGGAGAAGAGAGGAAAAGACAGACAAGACACAGAAAGAGAAAGGAAAAGAGGCTCGTTAAAGAGGTGGAGGCAGGCACAGGACAGCACCCTCAGGCTCCCAAGCATGGGGCATGGAGAAAAGAGGAAGAGAAAGGCAAGGGGCACAAGATGTCCCTTCCTCCTGGCAACTTGCCTTCAAGGCTCATTCTCAGCTGACATGCATTGGTTGCTAAATTATTAAAATTCTTGTAGTGCTTGGTAAAGAACTGATGCTACCAGTGCCCAAGAGCCCCCTCCACCAGGGACCCCTGGACTAACACAGGTCATGCACAGTGCAGTGATCCTGTGCCAGTGCTGCAGCTAGTTTCCTTGTGGTCCAATTCATTAGCTCTCTTGACTAGCTGCTCCCTGGCCTAGGTATCTTCGCCATCTGCCTCAAGAGACCTCTACCCATCAGTAAAAGCACCCCCCGTACCTGCCGGAGACAGGGGGCGCCGTGAAACTCCTCGAGTGTGGGAGCGGCGCCTGGCTGGGGGCCCCGTAGAGCGCCTGGCCCACCTCATAGCAGCGGGTATGGAGGAAGGGTGGGTGTGGTGGGCCCTTGTGGGGGAGCACAGGCCGGCGCTGGGGCCCCACGGCCAGTCCGGAGTTCCGGATGTACCAGTCCCTCAGCCCCTCCAGGGCAAGGTTCTTGTGGCCACTGCGTTCACCAGCCAGGGGGATACGGGTGGGTGGGGGCATCCACAGCATAGGGTTTGGATGCACCTCCGGACCCTCTGCAGCCTCTGGGGGCAGGCCACAGGGCTTGGTGCGGGTGGCACGGGTGTGGGGGTCCTTGCTGCGGAGGAGGGGGCTGCTGCCGTCAGCTGCATACATAGGTGGTGGGCCGGGGAGCATGGCAAGGAGCCCATCCCGGCGGGAAAGGGGTCCTGGGACCTCAGCTGCAGGCAGCAGCTCCCCCCAGCCTGCCCCACTGCCACCGCGGGGCAGGCCCCGGTCCAGGGAATAGTCCAAGAGGAAGTCCCCACATACAGGTGGGAGCCGAGGGGCCCCTCGGGAGGCAGGGGCAGCTGAGCTAGGCCGGGCGGCCCGGGGAGGGTCTGGGGGGCCAGCTGTGCGGGAAGAGAAGGCAAGGGTTGGCTGGGGGTGCTCATACAGCACCTCGCTGCTCTTACAGACCGGGGGGCCGGCAGCAGGGGGAGCCAGAGGGGCAGGCGGGGAGCCGGCTCCCCCACCACCTGCCCGGTCCACTAGCAGGGCCTCAGAGCTGTTGCTGCGTCGAGTGCGAGCTGCGAAGAGGGAGGCCCGATCGGAGACAGGGTCCACACGGGGGAAGCCCATCTGGGAATCCTGGCTGCCAGACCACTGGCGAGAATGGAGGCCTTCGGGTCTGGGGCACAGAGATGGCATAATGGGAATAGGGTCAGAAAAATTAGGCAGATAGCCTGAGTCCCCTCCCTACCCCATCTCTTTCTGAGCCTTCACTTTCACATCTCCAAAACAGGCCCAGGATTAGAAGTTGTGTGTATAAAGGTGTTAGGTAGTGGCATGTAAAGGGCAGCTGAGGTTCTCTTGCTGAAGACTGGGGGCACAGGGGTTGGAAATGTATGGGGAGCTGGGGCTGTTGGTGCCAAGGGAGACATAAATGTGTGTAAGGCTGGAGAGGAACCTCAAGCAGAGGAGGGCCTTACACCTGACCCGTATTCCCCTGCTAAGGCCCTTCTCATGGCTCCCACTGCCTCCAGGATGACCTCCTGGTCCTCACCCCACCATGTGTATGAACCACCCAAACTATCATCCCCACAGCCACCATTTACAGAATGCAAGTCCGATGAGAACAGGAACTTTGTTTTCTAACAGCCTGGGAAAAGCAGGTACTTAATATTTGTTTAAGAAGCAGGACAGTATAGTGGTTAAAAGCATGAAGTCTAGAGTCAAACTTGCCTGGTTCAAACTCCAGGACTTCAGTTCACTAACAAGTTACTTAACCTTTCTGTGCCTCAGTTTCCTCATCTATAAAATGGGAACAACAACAGTACCCGCCTCATAGGGATCTTATGATGATTAAATGAGTGGATGCCATGTAAAGCACTGATTCCTAGCAGGTGGTAGGCACTCAGTACATGTTAACCAGAACTTATTATGCCTTCGTCTTTCAAAGGGAAATATTATTATGCCCATTTCACAAATGAGGAGACAAAGATTGAGAGAAGGGGAATGACTTGTCCAAAATGCATAGAAAAGCCCATACTCAAACTGTGGTGCTTCTGCCCCAAATCCCTACTCCACTTTTCTCCACCAAGACAACTTCTATTCACCATTCAAAGCCCAGCCTCCCATGGCCCACACCTTTTGATAATGTCTTCCTCAGCCCTCTAGTGAGAACTACCGGTTCCCTCCTCTGATTCTCAAACCCACACTCAGATCCCCCTTACTTGCAGAGCTGGGGGCCAGCACCCCGAGTGAGGACAGGGGTGGCAGGCACACTTCGCCCCTCAAAACTGGAGGCACTCCTGGGCAGCGAGCGTGTGGGGCTGGACAGAGACAGGCAGGCCCAGGTGGGAGCCCAGGTTAGAGACTGTATCCACCAGTAAGCCCTCCTGCCAACCCAGGCTCAGGATCCCCTCCCCAGCTCCTGGGGAAGAAAGGGCAGGGGCTCATCCTCACCTGGTGGCGCTGGCCACAGAGTTCCGCCGGCTCTTCAGATCCCCATAAAGATCTGACGGGGGTGGTTTCCATGGGGTTCGCCGCTCAGGGCTCCCCCCAGATACTGCCCGAAGCTGGTCCCAGGCTTTGGGTGGTGAGGGGCGTTCAGCCAGAGAGAAGCAGCCACGGGGTTCCTCTGGGTGAAAGAGAGAAAGTGGGGCAGAATTCAGTGAGAGTAAACCCAGCGCAGGCAGGACAGGATGGGGGCAAAGCAAAGGGTAGGGGCTGGGGAGCAGGGAGGGCACTGGGCCAGGACACAGGCTGAGGAGGACCAAGGCAAAAAGGGTAGGGAAGGGGCTGAAGAGGCAGGGCTGGGATGAGGCTGAGAAGATGGGGCCCACAAAAAATGGGGCAAGACTAAGGTAGAGCTGAAGAAGTAGGGGAGGTGCTGAGCATCAAATGACAGGCTGAGGAGACACATGACAGGGTGGGGACAGGGGTGGAGATAGGAGTCCTCACCATTGTCATGGCTGGCTCCAGACTCTGAGAGGGAACTGCTCTCCGAGTGCAGAACTACATCCTCTGCAGGGGAGAAGGGGAGACCGGGCCTCTCACTCCCAGGCCTGGGTGCTACCTCCTTGTACCACTGGATGACTGCCTCCACTTGGCCTGTCTCTTGCGTGGTCTCCTCCTCACACTGCTCCCTTCTCAAGAATCTGCCTTTCCCTGAGTCCAAGACCATCACAGCTTGGTCCCTGGCTTTCCTGTTGCCTATTTGTCAGTGCCTCACGCCCACTCGTTCCCCCAGCCAGGTTATCACAACTCTCCTTACTGGCTGGGTCCCTTAAGCTCTGCGGATCTCCTAGTCTTCATTGGCTGTTCACCCATCCCACCCCTACCACATCCACTAGCCAGCGCGCACTCTCCCACTCTCACTGGGGGATGCTCACCTTGGCTGAGCTGAGCGAGGCGCATGCCCAGGCAGACTCCCTGCGTGGTGATCACTGCCCCCGTGGACAGTGGCAGTGGCTGGGGCGGCGGAAGCACTGGGAGGCCAAGGTAGGCCCGGACGTCCCCAAGCTGCTCCTCCAGTTCATGCAGCCTCCGCAGTGCATCTGCCTGGACCTGGCGCCGGCGCCGGCGCTGCTCAGCGCTCAGCTCAGGGGCCAGGGCCAGGCGGCGGGCAGCTGCTGTGATCTGCTGCTGCACTGACACCTCGCGCTCTAGGGCGTCAAGAGCCAGCTCCTGTGGGGTCCACCCAAGAGGTGTGGGACAGGACCAAATGTTGGAAATGACCAAGCACAGGGACCAGGCAGTGGCCTGGAGGTAGGCCTGCTCTTCCTGAGGGCAGGCCTAACCACCTAGGGGTGGAGCTTATTCATCCTCTGGGGCCAGGGGCCATCTGGATTAGGGGCTGGGCCTGATCATCTTCTTGAGGGCTGAAGCCTCTTGAGGGCTGAAGCTGTCCCTCACAGAGGGAACAGCATCCGCCCTCAGAGCAAGAACTCACCCCTCAAAGCCTTCTCTTCTCATCTTAGCCTCTCCCTCCCCTGTCTGTAACCTTCCCTCTCCCATATTTCCCTCCAGGCTCATCCCCTGTACCTGTCCCCTCTCCCCACCATCTTGCTCCCCACACCCATCTACTCACCTCAGCAGGGCACAAGGAGTGGTGTGCTGGGTTGGGATGTGGTGGAGGGTAGGCACGGGCTGCAGGAGGCCGTCGTCGGACCAACTGGGGTCGTTCACCAGGCTCTAGCGGGCACTCGGGGGGCAGCTGGCCAGTTAGCTCCTGTAGGGGGCAGAGGTCAGAGACTACCAAGGGTTGGTTGGAGGATGGGGTAAAGCAGTGATGATCCCAGAAGCTACAGAAGTCCTGCTAGGGGCCTGGCCCTGCTCAGCACCCCATGCACAATATTCTCTTCCTCCTCCCAATATCTTAACCAGGCAGGTATGCAGTGTAGACTCTCAGTCCCTCGGTGGCCCGAACCCATGGGGCAGTTGCTGTGGGAGGCAGGGAGACCTGCTTTGGAATCCAGAATATTTTAGTTTTTATAAAGGCCATGCAGTCTACATACTGCATATTACATAAAACTCCCTTCAGGGTCTGGGGCCACATGGTCTGAGCCACATTATTATTTCTGGCAAACCATGTGGACAGTCACAGTAAGAGGAGTAAATCAAACCTATAAATCATCCCATGTCAGCTCAGGGCAGGTTTTCCTGCCAAATTTTGGAGATAACTTTTGTTTTTTGAGATATTTGGATTTCAAATTGTTGATAGGGGATTGTGAGCCTGTATTACCATATTTCATTGATTCTAAGACATCTAAGCTGAGGTTTAAGGACATAGAGGGTGACAGGGAATCTACAGCCCAGATAGATGGTTCAGCAATTGCTACCAAAGTTTGCCTATCTGGGGGCCCCAGCTCCTCACCCACCACCTGACACCCCCAGGACCAGGCCCTCACCGCCTCCTGAAGACACACTTTGCGAAGCTCCTGAAGTTTCAGGCTCAGGGCCTCCTGCAGGGCTCGCTGCCGGTCAAGCAGTCCCCGTAGACGCTCTGACTTCACCTGGGGGGCAGCCTCTCCGAACAGGGCAGCTGGACACAGAGAAAGCAAAGATCAGTGAGACAGCCGGGCCACCATGGAGCAGCCACAGGGCCAGCACCAACCCTCCCCAAGTGGGCAGCTAGTGACTCAGAGCAGAGGAGGAGGCAGCAGGAGGGGGACCAGTCACCGACCTGGGGCACTGAAGGTAGGAGAGCTGATCAGCTGACCTTTGACTTCCATCTTGGTGCTGTCGAGAGGCTGTGGCTGGTGGCTGGAGACGATCTGGCAGTGACACACAGAAGCCATTAACAAAGCACATCCCGTGACACCCCAATCCCTAGGCCTTCCCAGCTTCCCACGCCCCAGCTAGGAATAAGGGGTACCCTAGGCCCCACCCACCTACCAGATCTTCCCTCTCAGAATGTGTGTGGAAGTCTGGACCCCCTTGGCCCTGGTACCTTGGTTCCCTTCCCATTGAGTGGAAGCACAGCAAGTGGGGAGCTGGGCGGACTTACAACGCCTCCTCAGAGGCCCATGGGCCACAGCCAGAAGTCTTGCCTGGGGAGAAAGAATTAATGGTAACAGATTCAACCAACTGTAATAACAGTGGGAACTTATTAAACACTTGGGTGCCCAGAACAGTTACCTACTATGCCACATTTAATCTTCACAACCACCCAGGAGTACTGTTACTCCAATTTTAGAGATGAGAAGAAAGCACAGAATAACTTGCCCACAGCCAAGGACACTGCCCAGGCCCACCCCTCTGGCCCTACACTCTTAGGGTAGAGCTAACTACCCTACTGGTAGACCAGTCCGTCAGGTCTCAGGGCCCTTGGGCAGGCTACGGCTGCTTTTTGAAGTGCTTTCTTCAACCTCTCATCACCCCAGCCCATGCTTCTCACTTATCATCCTGGGGCTCAAATGTCACTTCCAGAGGTGAGCTCCTGTCCTCTCACAATTGCCATCCAACAAGAGATTGTGCCTCCCCTATATATCCATGAAGACAGGAAACGTTATCTGTCCCATTTTCATCAGTATCACCAGCGCCTTGAACACTGCTACACACATAAGTGCTCAATGAATGTCGGATGGCTGAATGAATAAATGACTGAGTAAATGAATGACAAGGTGGCAGAGCCAGTGTTCAAGCCCAGATTGTCCCAACTCCATCCTGCAGCCCTGGTGCAACAAGGAGAGTGTTTGCTTGACCCCAGGGTCCCTCCAGCCCCCTCTCCCCACCCCAGCCTGTCTGGAGACTAATATAGAGAAGTCACTCTGCCAGGATTTGTGAGAAGCAAAGTCCATAACTGCAGATAACAAACCACCTGCCTCCTGCCTCCTCTGCCCCCACACGGCCTGGCTGCCCATGGAGCCTGCCTTGGCTGGCCTCCAGCTCTGCCCTCGTCCCCTCCTCTGGAGTTTGCTCCCTCCCTCCCACATCCTGCTCAGTCCCCAGCTGGGCAGCCTGGTGACATCACCTCCCACCACCTGGCCTAACCTCAGTGGTAGGTGACTGGAAAGGCCTCATGGGGCCACAATGTTCCCATCCCTGAAATCCAGTTTGTCATGACATGGTAGCCTGGTGTCAGGAAGATCCAGACAACCAAGGAGGTATGGGATCAAGCCCCTTCCCCACCTATATACTGTGGGATGTGGCTAAGCTGCCTATAGTGCCACCAGTTTCTCTGCATTCCTTCTACCTGCCTTACAAGGACTGTACCCCTCCCTTGAAGCAATGGTCCCCTGTCCTCACCATAAAGGGTAGGAGTCAGTCCCTAAAGCCTCTGACAAATCCAGGCCCCAGTGTGTACTTTGCAGAGGCACTCACAAGCCCAACTGTCTAAGGGCCGATGTTTCCCAGCACAGCAGAGTTTCCTCGGCGTCCCAGTTCAGCCTCCTCTGCCCCTTGGCTCCTGGTGCTCCTACTTGCCCAATCCCCATTTGAGTTTGGGGAACTCTTGCAGGGCTCCCCGGAAACTTCTTCCACACCAGTAGGAACCCAAATCCTCCCTGATGGGCCCATTTGCCAGGATTGGTCCCACATCCCACACTGGGCTACCTCAATCCTTCCTTCTCTGGGAGCTCAGGGCATCATGGAAGTCAACACAGGGTCCAGACAGGAACCCTGACTCCTTCCTGTCAGCTTGACCTCGGGAACATAGCTAGGGCATGAGTCATGGGGTTACTAGGCAGGCTAAACACAGGGTCAATGCCCCACACCTCCACACCCAGTTCCCAAACCTCTGCCTCTGCTCACCAGCCCTCTACACACTTGTCTTGGGACCCAGGCTGCCCTGTTCCCACCCAGAGGTGGTGAGAAGTGGATCCCAGCAACCCCCTCCTCAATACACTCCCACCCTGCCCCAGGTCTCCCCACAGTGACCCTATGGCCCTGTCCTGTCCCCAGAATGGGCTGTGGCAGGAGAGCTGCAGAGGGCACCCCGCCATACCCAGAGGCAAGCCCAGCAGGTTTTTCAGGTCTACCCTTCTGACACCACAGCTGAGAAAGAAATTCCTGGCTGTAATGACTGTTTACAACCAAGATACCTCACCTGGGTGGCACCCCAACACTGTTAGAGGGGGGCCGCCTTTTCACATCCAGCATTACTGGAACAAATACAAACTCTCAATGTCTGGACTATCCCCTCCTCCCCTGGAATCCCCCCTGCCCCACTTGTTCCACTCTAGTGAACAAATGGGGGATAGGCAGGCAGGTGCCTGGGCAATGATTTCTCAGTAGTCCAGCCTGGCCTTCCCTGGGGGTCTGGGCCCTGGGTAGAGACTACTCTTACAGGGGGAAACCGGAGGAGAGGAAGTTGGAGGGTGGAGTAGGGAAGGGGGGACTAGTGCTTCTCTTTCCCCCATCCCTCCTTGTCCATTTCCAGCTAGGAATCAGCTTTGTGCCAGCAAAGGAAATTGGACATTTTGGGCTTCGCCCCTCTACTCAGGCCCTCCTTCCTTGCTGTACCCTCCCTGCCCTTCCCCACATTGCTGATGTACCTCTACCACAGACCTGGCTCTCTCCCAAAGGGAACTTCAGTACACTCTATCCCAGTCCTCCAGGGCCCTCCTCCCCCATGCCCCTGGGCCCACTGCTCCCAGCTGCTCACCAATACCAGACAGTGCTGGGGGCAGCCTCAGGTACCTCGGAAAAATAGTTGTCTCAACCAGGCCCTGGCTCGGCTGGTAGTGGCAGTGAGCAGCAGTGGCAGATGCCTTGGCCACATCCCACTAGGTAATGGCCCAACCTACCTGGCCAAGAACTGGGCGGCCCATACCTTTTAACCCTTGCCTGCCTGCCACCAGGGCTAGGGCCACCCCTGGGGGCAGTCTCTGGGCCAGGTGGCCTCAGGGTGCCCAGCAAGGCCAAGAAAAGAGCCTGGAACTCCCTCCGCACCCCACAGACTTAGCAGAGAACTGGGGAAGAAGAGCTAAGAGTTGTGGGAGTAGCAGCTGCCTCTTCTGCTACCCAAATTTCCAGAGGGTTAGACCCTGCCCACCCAAGGGCATAACCCTAGAGCTGAGGGGAAGGGGATCTGGGGAGCGTGAAGCATGCAGGAGGCAGAGGGTGTAAATCTGGTTTGTGTCTCTTAGCAGCCTATCACATTCCTTAGGCCCCTACCCTTTCCTCTCAGGGCAAGGCACAGGGGGTGGGACAAGGTCTTAAGGCAATTCCCACCCTCATTGAGGTAATAGTTTCCCAGGTTGGGAACAGAGGAAGTTGACTTTTCCAAAGAGAGGCCAGGTCTTAAGACCCCACCAACTTCTGCAGCTCCAGAAGAAATAATCCCAGTAAACCGACCATAAATTACGCCCTACAAAACATTCATGTGTTTTAACCCCTCTTGGTCCCCACAAACATGGGAGGATGGCACATACTGAACCTACTCATAGCCATTTTATAGATGTGGAAGCTGAGGCTTGGAGAGGTGAAGAGGCCTAATTCAGATCACAGTGGAATCAGAACTGAGCAGGGGGGAGCTGGGTCCTGAGTTGGAGGCTGACCGAGGCTACTCCTGCAAGGGAGGAGGAGGAGGAGGAGGAGGGAAGGGGGCTCATGCTTCTTCACATCCATGCTGGGACTCCCCCATTCCCCTCCTCAGCCAGGAGTCAGGCTTCATGCCAAACAAGGAAATTGAGGGCTCCGAGTCCCTACAGTGTACTATTTCTCCCCACAACACCACCTGGGCCCTAAGCCTATGACCGCACACAACACACATCCTGTGCTCCATTTGGGACCATCTGCTCTGTGACCTCAGGGCCCAGGCCCCTGCTGCAGCCCAAGCCATGACGTGAAAGAGCAGAGCGATAAGGAAAGCTCTTTCCGTGCTTGGCAGGTGGGCCAAGCCTAGAAAGAAGCTCCTTCTGTATCGATGCCCCAAACGCATGCTAGCCAGGCTTCCCACCATCCCTGCCCACCTCTCTTCCTGGGTGTGAGATTTCCAGCAAGGGACACAAAGGCCTCTTTCATCACCCTCCCCCTTCCCCTCCTTTGCTGCCTGGGGCTGGTGGAGGTGGCAGCAGCAAGGTGGGTAGCTGGGTGTCGGTGGGGAGTGTCTTCTCAGCCGTGGCCTCTCCCCTCTCTTGTGGGCCACCGAGGATGTTGGGAAAAGGGATATTTATAAAATCAGAGGGACAAGAGGGACAAGAGACTCTGGCTGGCAATGTGGATTGAATCTCAAAGCTTAGGTTTCCTCTTCTGTAAAATGGGTAAAAGGTGGTTATGAGACAATGGAAGCCAAAGTAACTTTGGAAAGCTTTTTTTTTTTTTTTCATTTTTTTTTTTAGCCAGTCAAATTTAGCAGTGGGGGGCTGAATACCAACTTTAGTGACACTAATGTGTTTTTTGTTTGTTTGTTTTTTGTGGGGTTTTTTTTTGAGACAGAGTCTTACTTTGTTGCCCAGGCTAGAGTGAGTGCCGTGGCGTCAGCCTAGCTCACAGCAACCTCAAACTCCTGGGCTCAAGCAATCCTGCTGCCTCAGCCTCGAGTAGCTGGACCTACAGGCATGCGCCACCACGCCTGGCTAATTTTTTCTATATATATTAGTTGGCCAATTAATTTCTTTCTATTTGATAGTAGAGATGGCGATCTCACTCTTGCTCAGGTTGGTTTCGAACTCCTCCAAGCTGAACAAACCGCCCACCTCGGCCTCCCAGAGTGCTAGGATTAGAGGCGTGAGCAACTGAACCCGGCCTAGTGACACTAATGTTAATAAGTTCTGATAACCCACTACCATCGGACCAGCCAAGAAAGCTTTTCAAATTGTAAGGAAACTGGCCAGGCGCAGTGGCTTATGTCTGTTATCCTAGAACTTTGTAAGGCCAAGACAGGAGGATCACTTGAGGCCAGAAGTTTGAGACCAGCCTGGGCAACATAGTGAGAACTGGTCTCTACAAAAATAGAAAATTACCATGTAAGGTGGCCCATGCCTGTAGTCCCAGCTACTCAGGAGGCTGAGGCAGAAATCTGAGGTTGAGGTTGCAGTGAGCTATGATAATGCCACTATACTCTAGTCCAGGCAACAGAGCAAGACCCTGTCTCAAAAAAAAAAAAAAAAAAAAGTGCAAGGAAACTCACAGCATGTCATTAATGGCTGTTAATAACAACAATAATAAACTCACACAGAGGTGGGCTGGTATGGAGGTCAGTGGGGAAGAGCAAATAACGGGACCTCCTGGGCCAGGCAGACAAGCCAGGCAGAGTCACCCACACACATCATTGCCCTGGTCCTCAACTCTTAACAGCCAACCTCTAAGACAATCCAATGTCTAAGCCCTACCCCAGCCAAGTCCTGAGCCTCACATGGCCCTGCATGGCTAGTAAATCCCTGAGTCTGGGATTCAACACAGCTCTGCCACTTACTGCTTATGTGACTGCTTGGACAAGTCACTTAACCTCTCTGTGCCTCAATGTCCTCATCTATAAAATGCGGATAATAATAACAGCACATACCTCACAGGGTTGTTGTGAGTATTAAATGAGTAAATACATTTTTTATTTTTATTTTTATTTATTTATTTTTTTAGACAGAGTCTCACTCTATTGCCTTGGGTAGAGTGCCGTGGCGTCAGCCTAGCTCACAGCAACCTCAAACTCCTGGGCTCAAGCAATCCTCCTGCCTCGGCCTCCCAGAGTGCTAGGATTACAGGCATGAGCCACCACCGACCCAGTTAATACATTTAAAGCTTGCATAGGACAGGCCCTCAGTAAGTGTTCAAAACGTGCTTGCTGTCATAATCACAAGTATCCCTCCCCCTGTGAACCAAAGAATCAAATAGATACATTTGGATACATTTTTTTTGAAGACAGAGTTGGTCTCCCTCAGCCTCACCTGACACATTTGAAACAGAGCTATTTTCTTTTTTTTTTTTTTTTTTTTTTTTTTACTCGGACATAGGCTGGCCGATGAAACAGAGCTATTTTCTATCAGATAATTGTCTGAATTCTCACTATCCAAAATCAGAAACTAGGCCGGGCACGGTGGCTCAAGCCTGTAATCCTAGCACTCTGGGAGGCTGAGGAGGGCGGATTGCTAGAGGTCAGGAGTTCGAAACCAGCCTGAGCAAGAGCGAGACCCCGTCTCTACTATAAATAGAAAGAAATTCATTAGCCAACTAGTACATATAGAAAAAATTAGCCGGGCATGGTGGTGCATGCCTGTAGTTCCAGCTACTCGGGAGGCTGAGGCAGTAGGATTGCTTGAGCCCAGGAGTTGGAGGTGGCTGTGAGCTAGGCTGATGCCACGGCACTCACTCTAGCCTGGCAACAAAGCGAGACTCTATCTCAAAAAAAACAAAAACAAAAACAAAAACAAAAAAACAAAATCAGAAACTAAATGTATTCAGATGCATTTTTGAAACACAGCTGGTATCTCTCGACCTCCAAACCTGCCCTACTTATTATCCAGACATGGGACCCTCCCTATTGTCAAACATGACATATTTGAAACAGAACTGTTTTTCCTAGTTATCCGATCTCTTTCCTACTCAAAATAAAAATGCAGGAACCAGGCCGGGCGCTGTGGCTCACGCCTGTAATCCTAGCTCTTGGGAGGCCGAGGCGGGCGGATTGCTCAAGGTCAGGAGTTCAAAACCAGCCTAAGCAAGAGCGAGACCCCGTCTCTACTATAAATAGAAAGAAATTAATTGGCCAACTGATATATATATAAAAAAAAAAAATTAGCCGGGCATGGTGGCGCATGCCTGTAGTCCCAGCTACCCGGGAGGCTGAGGCAGAAGGATCACTGGAGCCCAGGAGTTTGAGGTTGCTGTGAGCTAGGCTGACGCCACGGCACTCACTCTAGCCTGGGCAACAAAGCGAGACTCTGTCTCAAAAAAAAAAAAAAATGCAGGAACCAAATACATTCAGATAAGCTGTCTGAACTCTCGCTATCTAAATGCAGGAACTGAATGGATTTAGATACATTTTTGGGATAGAACAGGTATCACTCACTCTTGAGCTTTCCTTATACACCAGGCGATATGCAAAAAGCAAGTATATTTACACAACAGGGTACCTTCACTATCCCACCTCTTGTCCCTGAAGTTCATGAAAGCTAATGGATTTGGATATACTTTTGAGTTAGAGTCATCATTCTTCATAATCTGAAATTTCCCTACTTCCTAAGTAAAATGAGAAAACAAACTACCCTCAGATAACTTGGTGTGTTTCACTGTCTAAACTTCCAGAATTCTCCCTCTCAGAACTCAGGTACCAAATAGATTGGGACAGTGAGGAATGCTTCTGTTGTTATTAATAGGTTTGGATAAATAAGATGGATCTGGTATCTCATTATTCAAACTCACTATGCTGTGTGAGAAATGCAGGAACAAAACATAATTAAATAACACATTACCCCTCACTATCCAAATTCTCCCCATCTACCCTCAAAATCAATGAGATTCAGACAAGGGAATCTGCATTAATATTGTTTTTATTGCTACTACTACTAGATGAACCTGATTCTAACATCCAGTGACCACCTGCCCCCTGCCCTAGACCAGTCCCCAGAGGTGGGGTGGACTTAGCACCAGGATTTTATTGCTTACTTTGGAAAGAAAGGGGGATAAAACCCTGCCCTCATCCCTCCTCTACCAAGTTCTGAAGCCTCTGGCCTAGAACAGACTTTCATTCAGGCAGGAAAGAAGGGATCATGCGAGGGTGCAATGGCTCACACCTGTAATCCTAGCACTCTGGGAGGCAGAGGCAGGAGGCTTGCTTGAGGTCAGGAGTTCAAGACCAGCCTGGGCAAGAGCGAGACCCCATTTATACTAAAAATAGAAAAATTAGCTGGCCATCATGGCACATGCCTGCAGTCTCAGCTACTTGGGAGGCTGAGGCAGGAGGATCACTTGAGCCCAGGAGTTTGAGGTTGCAGTGAGCTACGATGACTCCACTGCACTCAACCAGGGACAACGGAGCAAGACTCTGTCTCAAAAAAAACCCCACAAAAAACAAAAAACAAAAAGATGGGATCATACACCTAGGATCAACACCAGGAGATGGGGGTAACATGACCTAGAAGATTCATACATACCCCTGGGTCCCCCATCCCTTCATAGCAAGGTTGGAAACATGAACCAGACCTCCTAGACTCCCAGAAAGTCACTGAATAATTTAGTTTATTCTTTCACACTAGGGGAGGGCAGGGGCATAGGAACAGTTCCATGCCCTCCTGGGGCAGGAAGAGAAATGCAAGCTCTATGTGAGATCACTAGGGTGGGGGTGGGGGAAATCACATACAAAACCAACCATCAGCCACACAGGGCACGCAAGGCTGCTTGCTCTTGCTAAGAGAAGCATATGGGGATGTATTTCAGAGGCCCTCGGAACAGCTGAACCTTCAAGTTCAGGGGCAGGGTATAACGGGACCCCTGTCCTGAACTCAGAAAGGATGGAAAGTGGGTGTTAGGAAGGAGAAAGATCTGAACACAGTGGAGGGGCATGGAAAGGGATAGAACAGGGACCTGGGGTTGGGATAGGAAGAAGCGACAGGACAGGAAGGAGTGTAGGGAGCAAGACAGAATCAGAGTCATTGTAGGATGGAGGTCAAGAGGCAGGACAGGGAATGAGCCAGGACACTGGCCAGGAGATGGGATGAAATGAGGTTCAGGACAGGGGTCAGAGAAAAAGTACAAGAAAGAAACAAAACAGAAGGGTAGGAGTCAGGGTCAATATAGAACTGTAGCCAGGAGACATGACTGGGGCAGGCCAAGCCAGTGGTGAAGGGAGGGGATAGGGAAAAGGACAGGTTCAGGATGGAGGTCAGGAACAGGAAAAGACCAGGACAGAATGAGGATGGTGACAGGGCAAGAAAAGAGGGAAAATCAGGACAGGGTTTGGGACAGGGACAGGGCAAGAGATAGAAGAGGATATTTAAAGGTGGTGAGCCAGGATGGAGATCAGGAGTCAGGAAAGGGACCAGAGAATAGTACAGGGTGGGGAGAAAGTACAGAAGTCAGAGGTGAGGAATCAGGACAGAACTGGATCACACTGGGGTTGAGGGACAGGACATGACTGCAAGAGATTCAGAGATTAGACAGGAATTTAGGGAACAGACAGGTCAGGTGTCAGGACAGAAACTGGGGTCTATGTTGGACAACAGGACAGGGCAAGATGCTTCAGAGATAGGACAGGGTCAGGCCAGGATCTGGGGTCAGGTCAAGGATCCTGAGGACAGAACTGGATGGGGATTTGGGATCAGGTCTGGGTTTAGGGGGACAAAACAGGGTTAAAGGCTGGGCGCTGGTGGCTCATGCCTGTAATCCTAGCACTCTGGAAGGCCGAGACAGGCG